TAGATTATACATTTTACTGATACCAACTATATAATATTTACCTTGTTTATTAAAAAAAAATTTAAAAAAATTTCAAATATATATTTTTTATTTGTAATTTGAGAAGAGAGGGGGCGGCGCCCCTAGTGCCCCTATGGGCCGGCCTCCACTGCACACAGATTCTAAATGGTACGAGTTGAAGCGTTTGTTTGAACAGTCTGCAGGAGGCAGGTACTTGCTTTCAAGCAGAACAGAAACTAACTTAGAGGAGTGTTTACGTGTTCGGCGTAATAACGTACAACGGCCTCCACGACTTCTGTAGTCCTATTCAGCCACTTGTTAACAACCATCGTTTTTCAGACACGTCCACTCTTCAGAAATCACCAGTGGGGTCACTGCTGATGGATTTAATGTCGTAGAACAAAACGTGATCCGTATCTTCAATGTGTCTCAATCACAGATCCCATTGGCTCTGAGACGAGGGAACAGGAAGTGGTAACATGCTAACTCACTTACGGGTTTTAGGACTTGTCACTGCACCGCTAATATATGATAAGATAATATAAATAAATAAAAGATTGTCCCTCCAATTGAAAGTTTCTCTTTTTGTTATCAGGAAGCCATAATGGTGAAGCTTAAAGAGGAGCTCTGGAGGACTCTGCTGGATTTAAAAGAAGTCGAGTTTAAGCGTTTCAAGTGGTTCCTGGAGCAGGGGAATCTTCTGGAAGGTTGTTCCGGGATCCCAGTTTCTCGGTTGGAAATGGCGGAGAGGGAGGACACGGTGGATCTGATGGTGCAGAACTATCAGGATGATGGAGCTCGGGAGTTAACCAAGAAGATTCTAGAAAAGATCGGCCGAAACGATCTGGTTTTGGTTTTGGTAGGCAAAGGTACGTTTAGTAAAAATATTGGAAAAAGTGTCAAATGCAGCATCAAGTATTATTACTAATGGAATTTCACTTATGCTCAACTCAGTACATGTTTACATCCAACTGCAATTTATATTCTACCTCATACCGTTTCTATAGAACACATATTTATTTCTAGTTTTGTAATGATCAACTTACTTATTGTTCTTGTATTTTCATGGTAATTGTTTTGTCTGTTTTCGCTGTAGTGACAATAAAGGAATCTAATCTAATCGTTTTATTAAGATTAGATTTACGTCCTGAGGCAATCCTAAGCATCTGAACCTTTTAATACATTGTTTCAGATCAAGTCCGTTCTTCAATTAACTTTCAACGTTTTATCAACTCTGCCGATGAGAAGGAGATTAGAAATAAAAGCAGTGTTCATAAAGTGCAACAAGCAGCGTCACATTTCAGAAGTCAATAACTGTTAATCCACCGTTCAAATGACAAGCTGTGGGGGCCATCGAGTAAATCAGCGCTTGCTAATCAACATTTTATTCAAATTTCAAAGGTTATTGTCAAAGAAGCTACAGTGTAGAAATGGCAATGAAATTCTTCTGACCTGAGCTCCTCCAACGACGCAGCGTATATAATAAAATACAAAAATACAAATAAATAAATAGTGCAAGAAGTCTATATACATGTAAATAGATTATGATATGCACAAGAACAGAATATGAATTTAAATAATGTAAATTAAGACACAATTAAATACGGTTTATTGAGCAACGGTGCATAACGGTTTTAAACTTCAAATGAACCTCATCTCACGTGCTAGAAGGTTTCCAGAGAGCGTAGGCATATAGAAGTTTTGATTTGGACATCAAGTAAACAATACTCATGACTAGGGATGTCCCGATCACCTTTTTTTGCTCCCGATCCGATTCCGATCATTTGATTTTGACAATTTGCCGATACCGATTTTTCCCGATCCGATCTTTATGCAATGCATTAAGAGAAAAACAAGCATTCAAGTTGTCCCTTAAGGTTATTTTTTTATTTAAATTGGATATTCTATCCAACATGGATATAGCTTCTTTCTTTCACAGCAGCATTGGATCAGTTCAGTTGTGCAGCATTGGATCAAAACAAAATAAAGCTTTCAGTACTCGTTAGCTTACTGCTACAATTAGACACTGCGCCCTGCCCACTCTGTTGCCAGATTTGAGAGAAATAAGCAACTATGAAAACAAGCCCCAAAGAAGCAACACATACATGATGTTCTGTCATTTGAAACCAAAACTAAGGCCTCAGGATGACTTTAAGACTTGAACATGGTCATTTTTGTTTTGTAACATTGAATACAAAATTTAAAAAAAAGTATTTATAAAAAAAAAAAATAAGAATCCCCGATTGTTTTTCTTCCGATCTTTTGAAATTCACGTGATCGGCTCGGGACATCTCTACTCTTGACTGACCAAATGTGTTTCTGTTTCGTTTCAGACCTCAAGAACCATAAGAAGGAACAGCTGGCGGAGACAAACGCTGAAATCAAACAGGGGATCCAGGAGAGACAGAAGAGGATCGATGAAATCAGACGATCGGCGGAGATCAGCAGGAAGTCAGCTGACAGACATATCGCAGACAGTAGGCAGGTCTTTGAGGTTTTACAGAAGTCTGTGGAGAGAAGTCTAGCTGATCTCATCGAGGAAATTAAAAAAAAGCAGGAAACGTCAAGAAAACAGACGGAAGGATTCATCCGAGACCTTGAGAAAGAAATCTCTGAGCTGACAAAAAGAAGTGATAAGGTGGAGCAGCTCTCATGCAGCGAAGACATCCTGCAAACCGACCAATCACTGCACGCCATCCCCTTCACCACGAACTGGACGGAGATCAGTTTCACTCCACCAACATATGGAGGAAGTGTGGGGAAAGCTGTCAATCTGCTTGATGAAATATTCAAGAAAGAGAAGGAGAAATTGATTGCGAAGGCCAAGTTGAAAAGGGTCCAGGAGTCTGAACAGGATGTGACTCTAGATCCTGAAACAGCGAATGCCTACCTCGTTCTGTCTGACGATAGGAAAAGAGTCTACTGTGGTTATGAAGAACAAAGCCTTCCAGACAACCCAGAGAGATGTGATCCAGGTATCAACGTTTTAGGAAAGCAGAGTTTCTCTTCAGGAAGATTTTACTACGAGGTTCTGGTTAAAGGGAAGTCTTCGTGGGATTTAGGCGTCGTCAAAGGGTCGATCGCCAGGAAGGAGAAGATCAATGCGAAACCTCAAAATGGCTACTGGACAATATGTTTAAGGGAAGGAAATAAGTACCAAGCCTCTGCCGTAAATCTCAACGTTAAACGCCAGCCGGAGAGGGTGGGCGTATTCGTTGACCATGAGAAGGGTTCGGTCTACTTTTATGACGTAGATTCTGCAGACGTGATCCATAACTTCACTGACTGTGCCTTCACGGAGAAACTCTACCCTTTCTTTAGTCCCGGACTTCATTACGATGGCAAAAACTCGGCACCTCTAATAATCTCGCCTGTCGATTACAGTGATTAGATTTGATGCTTTCAAACAGGGCTGTCCAAACTTTTTCCACTGAGGGCCACATACAGAAGAACATACGAAGGGCTGGGCCCCTCAGTCGAGGTGAGGTAAATGTCCTCTTACGTTATGAGTTAGCAAAATCAATCAAATGTAGGTCAATTATTCTTTATACTTGAATATGCTTTAAGAAAAAAAAACAAAGCTTTCCATCAAGTTTTATTTATTTATTTTTCAGCTCATGTGTGGGCCGTACTCCATTTTACTTTTAGAATTAGATAAGGGCCGATTCAAAATGGTCCGCAGGCCGTAGTTTGGACGCCCCTGCTTTAAAGGTCCCCTGTTATCTTCCTCTTCATCAATATATCACAGGTCTCAGATATATACAGAGCCTGTCTCTGATTGGCTGAAACACCAAACAAATCATTGCAGCATTACCCATAATCCCCTCTGTTTCAGCCCTGTTTCCAAAGTGCTGATTCTCTGTCTGCTACTTTAGATGAAAATAAGGAGCCCCTCCCCACGCCCCTCTGAGAGAGATTTGGTTACAAAGATTTCAATTGAGCTCTAGGAGGAGATTCAGGTGATAGGGTGGGGGGTTACCTTGGTTGCTGATTGGCTAATGGTTACACAAGACAAAACATCGTTATGACATCACAAAGTGGCCAAAATCTGATCAGCTCATTTTCAGACAGGTTTTTATAGAAATGGATCAAAAAGAGAGAGAATCTTTGTTCCTGAAACTTTCAGAGTCTCTTTCCACAGAGGGGACACATGTTGATGTAGAAGAGACATGAAGAAGAGGGGACACATGTTGATGTAGAAGAGACATGAAGAAGAGGGGACACATGTTGATGTAGAAGAGACATGAAGAAGAGGGGACACATGTTGATGTAGAAGAGACATGGAGAAGAGGGGACACATGTTGATGNTTAGCGCTGTTGAAAGGAAGTTGTTGTTGCTATGGAAACAACGTGACGGAGATTAACGGAGAAAAAGTAATATCTACATATAAAGACGGAGAAAGTAAACGATAACGTTTATGGTTAAGTGTTAGCACCCCCCGAAGAGACACAAGCTCTTACGTTTGTATTGGAGTTTTCAATAAATTCAATGAGGCAGCGCAGCTGCCAAAAAAAACGAATATCAATAACAAAATTGAAACCCGAACAGTACTCCAACGAACGAATATTCGGTACAGCCCTAGAACACAATGGTGCTCTCGGAGGAGATTCAGGTGATAAGGTGGGGGGGGGGTTACCTTGGTTGCTGATTGGCTAATGGTTACACAATACAACACATCGTTATGACATCATCAAGTGGCCAAAATCTGATCAGCTCATTTTCAGACTTTGCATAATAGGTGACCTTTAAAAAACCGAGGTTAACGGCTGCACACTATACACTCGTGGTTTTCTATTGGTGAATGACGCATGAAGTGTTTACGTTATAGCTAGAGGGGTCAAAGACCATCGCAAAAACCATAGCTATAGTGGTAATTCATCATAGAGATAAAACAAACACACGTGTGGTGTTGTAATATAGAGATGTATCACAAACCGGTGAGAGAAATCAGAGGGGTTTCTTACTCTATTATAACATATCAGCTTAGTGAGTTATTGGCATGAAGCCTGACGATTTTCCGACACTTAGCTAAAGCATCGACAAAGCTGCTGTGATCAATCTCTGTATAATATGTGCTACAAATTAGCAGGTATGGAAGTATTCTTGGTGTGTTATCATATTGTGAGCACTATCTGTTCCTACAGTGGTCTCCGCTATCTCCCACTCATGTGCAACTTCAGGAAATTGGTGCATGCTTGAGCAAAGTACCTTTCCTCTGTTTTCACCAAAACAACGAGTGAAGTTGTTGGTTTATATCGAGCTATATCTGCAGTCAGTGCTAGACATATAGCCTGCTTTAATTGCTTTTTCACAGCCATGCAATTCATGGGTAAAATCCCACTAAAGTTATGGAAAGAAGTCTGGGTCGAACTTGGTGATGGGATTAATTAGCGTTGCCGTTTCTATATGAATCATGAGGATAAATGTGTGAATGTTCAGCCTTAGTTCTAACATATGGATACGTTAATGTTGTTATTGAGATACTACAATGTAGCAGGACTCTGAGTGATAGAAGTACAACAGATTGGAAATCACAGCCCTCAGAGATCAGTGCTAAACATGATGTGACGATCGGGAGAGAAAAGGTGCTTAACAGCCTTCACAGATGGTGCGTTTAGGGACCGGCAGACAACTGACAAACGATGATTTCTGCTTTAGTCGGACAATTACCGCTAACGAGTAAAAACCACATGAACAGAAGATGTTATTGGTTTGTGTAACATGGCAAAACAGACGACGGTTTACAACTGAGTGAGTTGAAAAAGACAAAAAACCTGTCACATATTTTACAAGATGTGATAAAATAATCAGAAAATGTAGTAATGAATAATAATATGAGATGGAGAACATCCTGTCACTGATTCTGTTCCAGTAGAACATGCAGTCTCAGTCCTTCAAACACATTACATATTGTCCTATGTTCAGCCTTCACATGCTAGAAACACAATAAGAACTAGAATTAAATAACAGGTCGGGCTCTCTTTGTCGAAAAGTAATGGTTATGAAAAGTCTAGGGATACAAGTAGTGATTATGTTATGAAATGTTAAGTGATGTCAAATGTCCTATTTTTTTTTACGAAAACAGCTCAAACCAAAATATATTCAGTATTCTATGAAATAAATCAGAGAAAGGTGGGAAGTCCTCACAAATGATAGGCTGGAAGAAGATAATAATTGGCATTTTGGATAGACCAAATGACTCAAATGATGAATCCATTATCAAAGTATATGATTTATTATTGTATAGATGGGTTCATCTTTGCAGGGGAACGAAGAATAATTCCACCTGCAGTTTAATCCCCGAAGAGTCAAAGTCACCTCAACCCTGATTGAAGAGATTACATCTGTGTACGTGATGGCAGCAGCATGTGTGTGTGTGTGTGTGTGTGTGTGTGTGTGTGTGTGTGTGTGTGTGTGTGTGTGTGTGTGTGTGTGTGTGTGTGTGTGTGTGTGTGTGTGTGTGTGTGTTACCTGCAGGGCATCATAATACATCTTCTTTGCTTCGTCGTCAGTCTTGTC